CACCAGCCCACAGAGGCCAATGAGCAGGGTGACACCATCTATGGCCATGTCGGTGACATCTATCTCACATGGATCATCGCCTTCAGTGGGTGAGGTGGGAGGTGGGGATGTCTGGCTCATCTCCATGGATGGACACTGGGTGGGTGGTGGGACCTGGTCCCTGGCTGTGGTCAGAGTGGATGAGAGTTAGAGATTGGAGAATCCAGGGATGAACCATGTGGATCCTCACCAGCTCTCTGCCCTGTGAAGGATTCAGAGCAGAGAAGTGGGATGTGCTGGGGAGGGAGCTGGAGGACATTATGGGGTGGGAGAGGGGGTTGGGGGGGCTGGGATGTTCACAGGACATGCAGGAGGCAAGTAGAGGGAGGACCTGAGGAGGGCACTGTGGTCACCAGGAGAGGGTGGGAGGAACAGAGCCGCAGGGTGTGGATGTGGAGGAGACGAGGGTGGGATAGGGAGGAAGGGAAACATTTCACTTACTGTTCGCTGTGGGGAAGCAGCAGGCGAGAGTTGTCTGTCCAGATCAGCGGCGCTTCTTGGCATCTCATGCTCCTTTTGGATCCATATCCTAGAGCAGATCCTCCCAGGACAGTTACATGAAGAAGAAAGTCCCTGGATAACCAGGAGGTCCCCTCTGACTCCTCTCTGTGTCCTGTCCTGGTGTTGTTCCCTCAGGAGCAGTGGGGACACGGGGGAGTCGGAAACGGTTTTGTAACTTTGGCTACGTCAGAGCTGCACTTCCTTGGGGTTATTTATCTCGTTTGGGTTTGTTTTTTGGTTTGTTTTTTTTTGCCACAAAGGAAGTGGCTTCTGCCAAAAGCTCCCCACGAAGAATTTTGTGAATGGCTCCTCGTTTACTCCTGATCAAAAACACTCTCCCCCCACCCCCCCCAGAGAACTTCCTGTTCTCCAACTGCATTCCCTCTCCAGCCAGGTTTTGGCCATTCCTCATTTTTCTCCAAACCTCAGCATCCCTGGGGGGTCACCACCTCTGGCAGCAGAGGGATTCTGGTGGTGCTGGAATGCTGGCAGTGCTGGCAGTACTGGCAGCACTGGAGAGGCAGCTGGGTACTTCTCAGAAGCAACTCTCATTCCAGAAAGAGCACTGGGATCATTGCCAAAACCTCCTCTTGGCCCAAGGGAACATACCTGCAAACTGGAGCCAAGAATTCCAGTTTTTGCCATTCTAACACAGGCCCTGACAGCCCAAGTGAAAGACAGCAAGCAGTTGTTTGCAACCAGGTTATGAGCACTTACAGCCCAGATTAATTACTGCTAATACCTTTAGTGATGCAATGAAAGCTATTGGAGACCAGATTTTGGGGTGCCGTGATCCCCATCCCAGCCCTTCACCAGCAGCACATCCTCCTACCCCTCAGGTTTGGGAGCACTTGTGGTAGTTCTTACCTGATCCCACCCCTTTGGTAGCAGGGACACCTTCCACTGGCCCAGGTTGCTCCAAGCCCTGTCCAACCTGGCCTTGAACGCTTGCAGGGATGGGGCAGCCACAGCTTCTCTGGGCAACCTGTGCCAGGGCCTCACCACCCTTTCAGCAAAGAATTTCTTCCCAATATGCCATGTAAACCTACCTTCTGTCAGTGTGAAACCATTCCCCCTAGTCTTGTAACTCCAGGCCCTTGCCCGAAGTCCCTCTCCAGCTCTCTTGGAGCCTCTTTAGGCAGTGGAAAGTGCTCTAAGGTCTTCCTGGTGCCTTCTCCAGGCTGCACAACCTCAATTCTCTCAGCCTTTCCATAGCAGATGTGTATATCTATCTATATCTATATCATCTATATCTATATCTATCATCTATCACCTATCATCTATCATCTATATCTATCGTCTATCACCTATATCTATCTATATCTGTCTATATCTTTATCTATCTATCTATCTATCTATCTATCTATCTATCTCACTGTGCATCAGCAGCACCCAGAGGATTTCTGAATGAATCCACCCACTGATCCCTCAGGTATTTTAAGCTTCCAGAAATTAACTCCTCCAGCTGTCTTGCCACTTGCTGTATGTGCAGACAGTTGATATCTTCCGTTACATGTTTGTTCCCGAAGAGATCACTGTGTGTTGACATCAAGGTACTTTTTAGGGATTTTTGTCTGTTTTTTATTTTAAGGCTAAATAAATAGTTTAAGGCTGAGTCATTCTGAGTTGCACTGGTATGGCCTCTTTTTCAAGCTGACCTCAACCCCCTCTTTCAGCTCAGCATGTGCTTCCACCCACCTCCCTCCAGCCACTCAGCAGGGAAATGAGATACACACGTCACAGCTGGCTGGAGACTGGGAATTCCCTGCTGCAAATGTGGAGGCCAGCTGGAAACATCACTGTCATTTCAAATCAGTACACGGGGTTCATAAAGAGATGGTCATTTTTATTCCAGGGAGGTTTAGTGGAGCAGATGGAGATGTTAGTCTGGGGATGGCAGGAATGTCTTCTGTCCCTTTTGTTATTGCTGAGCCTCTCTTTTACCTGATAAAGTTCACAGGAAGTGAGAATCCAGTTACACTGGATCTTTAATGTGTTGAGATTGTAGAGTCATTTTTCATAGTATCATAGAATCTTGGAATAGTTTGCATTGGAAGGAACCTTAAAGTTCATCCAGTTCCACCCCGTGCCATGAGCAGGGACACCTTCCACTAGATCAGGTTACTCTAAGCCCCACTGAGCCTGGCCTTGAACGCTTCCAGGGATGGGGCAGCCACAGCTTCTCTGGGAAATGTGTGCCAGACTCTCACAGAGAAGAATTTCTTCCTAATATCCAATCTAAATCTATCTTTCCATTTAAGGCCACTCCTCCCAGATTTGTTATTTGCTCTTCTTATTTACTGTTTATTACTTATTGCTATTTATTGCTTACCATCTATTGTTTACTATTTATTCCCTAGTTTACTATGTACTGTTTATTACCTATCACCCACAGTTTATTATTTACCACCTGCACTTTAGGATTTACTATTAGAATTATTAAATACTATTAGTAGTGTTTATTAATTACTATTCATTATTTACTCTTCACATTAACGTCATTTTAAACAAATATTTAACATTATTCACAAACATTTGGGTAATATTGCTTAATGGCTGCAGGCTTTACTTTCCCCACCAACTGAGAAAGAGATGGAGAGGGATATGGAGTGACAGGACAAGGGGGAATGGCTTCACACTGACAGAGGGTCAGTCTATATGGAATAATGGGAAGAAATTCTTCCCTTGAGGGTGGTGAGACCCTGGCACAGGTTGCCCAGAGAAGCTGTGGCTGCCCCATTTCTGCAAGTGTCCAAGGCCAGGTTGGACAGGGCTTAGAGCAACCTGGTCTAGTGGAAGGTGTCCCTGGCCGTGGCAGGGGGTTGGAACTGGATGGTCCTTGAGGTCCCTCCCAGCCCAAACCATTCCAGGATTCCATGAACACACCTCAGGGATGTTGCCACCAGGCACAGAGGAGAAGCAGATGAGGAGGAAGATGAAAATTCCGTGCTCAACGTGATGCCAGGTTTGCAAAGAGGAAGTGCTTGAAGGAACCAGCAAATGGGGCTGCAACGCCCATCCCGTGGGGTGGCACTCGGGCAGGACACTTCCGCTGCTCTCAGAGGGATGACCCAGCCCCGGCATGTCCACACCACAGCTCACACCCAGGACCCAGCCCTGGCTCACACCCAGGGGCCACTCCTGAGGGAGAGGTGGGGAGCCAGAGCATGGACTGCTGAAGGCCCTCAGCATGGATTCACCGTGGTGCTGGTGGCCAGATCTTGCCTGGGACAGTTTGGGCATGGCAGCCTTGTGAAGTTTCACGTGCAGCGCTGGCAGAGGGGACTGGAGTCTGCAGCGTTGGGACACTAAGGCTGTGCAAGGATTGTGCTCTCTCTGGAACCCCTGTGACTGGTGAGATGGGTCTGGGCTCACATCTTCTCTTCCTCCATCTTTCCATTCTTCCCATTCTTCTCCTCAGCCCTTTTCTACTCATAAAGGGCAAATGGCTCTGGATGCCTTTCCTTTCTCTCTCTACTCCCCTTTCAGCTCTCTGTCTTCTGCCACCATGTCCCTCCATTTCTCTTGATTTCCTTGATCCCTTCCATTTCTCCTGTTTCCCTTCCCTTCCCTTCCCTTCCCTTCCCTTCCCTTCCCTTCCCTTTCCTTCCCTTCCCTTCCCTTCCCTGTCTATTTCTTGCCACCTTGGGCCCAGAATTTTCCCTCTAGTCCCTATTTCTCTTGCTTCCCTTCCCTTCTCCTCTCTTCCCAGTGTTGATGTTCTCTGAGTTGCAGATGTTGAAGCCCTTGGAGGATGGGGAACACTGAATTACCAAAGTGCAGGTACTGGACACCCCAAAGTCCCTAATTTTGCCTTCATCTCTTGCGGGTCCCCAGGTGAGCACAAGGAAGATGGACCAGCACCCCAACCACACGACCCACGGCTGGCTTTCAGTGTTCCAAACTCCCACAGAGAGCCTGGAATATGGGGATGGACACAATGGGACTGGGTGCTTTGTGGAGCACATCCCGGAGCTGCTCACGGGCAGCCTCACCCTGCTCACCTGCCTGTGCGGGCTGCTGGGCAACGGGGCCATCCTCTGGCTCCTGGGCTTCCGTGTCTGCAGGAACCCCTTCAGTGCCTACCTGCTGAACCTGGCCCTAGCTGACACCTGCTTCCTGCTCTGCACCTCAGCCTTCCTCCTCATGTACCACATGCCCATGCTCAGCCGCTCCCGTGCGGAGGTGCCGCGGGCGCTGCCGCTCTTCCACTCCATGGTCCTGCTCACGTACAGCACCAGCCTGTACCTGCTCACGGCCATCAGTGTGGAGAGGTGCGTGGGTGTCCTCTGGCCCTTCTGGTGCCGGTGCCACCGCCCGAGGCTCCTGTCCCCTGTGGTGTGCAGCCTGCTGTGGATGCTTGCCTGCATGCTGGCCGGGCTGGTGTACTTCGTGTGTGACCTGGGGCACTCCGAGCACTGCTGGGTGGTTCTGGGAACCTTGTGCTTCCTCAGTTTCTGCATTTTGACTCCTCTTATGGTTGTTTCCAACGTGATCGTCTTCATCAAGCTCAGGCGGAGCTCTTGGCAGCACCACTCACTGAGGCTCTATGCCGTCATCTTCCTCACTGTGTTCTCCTTCCTCCTTTTTGGTATCCCACTCAGCATCCAGATCTTCCTCAACTTCTTTGTCTACATTAACCTTGTCTTTGAGATCTGTCTGTTGCTGGCCTCTGTCAACAGCAGCATCAACCCCATTATTTATGTCCTGGTTGGGAGCTACGGGAAGCCCAGACTCAGGGGATCTGTCAAAGTGGCTCTACAGAGGGTCTTTGAAGACAGGGCTGATTCCCAAGAGGTGGGTGAGACCCCTGCGGTGGGAACTGCTGCCTAAATCCCTGTGGGTACCAACTGGCACTAGAAGACAGGCAACCCTACCTCTGCACAGTGGGAGCAGAGCCTTTGCTTGTCTGGATGAGTTGTGCATCCCCAGGACAAGGGCATACTTGAGAGTTCCAGGGGCAGGGCTGGTTCCCACCTCAAATTTATATTTAAATTATTATAATAAATTTTTTTTCATGTAATTTACTGGAGACTGCAGTTCCTTCCCTTTCTGGCTCATGAGCTGCCTGTGCTTATTTCTGAAGTCACAGTTGTGACAGTCTCCTCATGCTTCCAATTAGTTCATCACACTGAAATGATGTGGCCCAGAAAGTCCTGTCTCATCTGTGCTCCTGTTCTCACCACCTTGATCCTCAAAAGCCCCCAAACCAGAGGAGATGATGGTGAAAGACAGAAATTATGTTTTCAGCTCCCTCTGGCTCAGTGTTCTCCTGTGCCACAGGGATGGAGAGAAAATCCAAGTGCTGCTGGCACCATCATCCAGCAGCCAAATCTTCATCCTCCAAGGGACCAACCTTAAATCTCCAAGGGGGTTTGACTGGGGAGGCAGGAAGGGATGGGAAAAAAGGAAAGTGCTGTGGTGACCAGCACTCTGGGGTCAGACAGACTGGCAAAGAGGGGCTGTGGGAAAGAGAAATTCTGCACTGGGGGTGGAGAAGCCCATGGAACAAACTGGAAGACCCAGAAGAGGCAGAAATAGAGGCTGAGAAGTACAGGAGGAATCCTCCAGGAGGCTGAGCTCTTCCTGCCAGATGAGATATCAGCTTCCCCACACTGCTACCAGAGCCATAATATTTGGACATCGTGGTTTCCTTTGTACATATACAAACCTGACCTTCATGTAAACAAACAACTAATGTTTGTAAATCTTGTGTGGGAAATCCAGATTTCTAGAGAACATGCTCAGGACGTTGCTCAGGGAAGCAGAAGATGAGAGATCCTGGGGAATTCTGTTCTTTAATCAAGCACAGGACTTGATGGGGCAGCCACAGCTTCTCTGGGCAACGTGTTTCAGTGCCAGTCTCACAGGGAATAATTTTTTCCCAATATCCAATCTAAAACCCCTCTCTGTCAGTGTAAGGCCATTGCCCCTTGTCCTGTCACTCCATGCCCTTGTCTCTTGGAGGCCCTTTAGATACTGGATCATGACCTGTTTGCACTGTAAAGGGTCAGCTTGGCGAGAGGATGTGAGATTTGCATTCCACAGTTTGGGACACAAACACAGCATCAACAAGGAAGAGAGGAGGCAGTTCTGGTCCTTGGGTCCTTACACACGCTGGTTCTCAGCAGGAATATCCCTGCTCCCAGATGCATGTGAGTCTGGGTAGGAATCATCTCACCTCACTCCAGCTTTCTAGAAATTCCATGGAATTAATTCTGGGTGCTGAATGACTCCAAACGGAGTGTGGAAGACAACTTAGACGAGCTCTGTAACTTCCCAGTGGCTAAAGCCAGGCAAGCAGCATTGATTCACCCCTTCTTCTATTCCTGAAATCCTGAATCATCCCTCTGCCATCTGCCCATGCTGCATCTCATGCCCAGATTTTATTATTCCACGAGCTCCTTGACACACAAAGTAGAATCCCCTTGGAAACTGTGTGGCGAAGGTCAAGTATCACTGAGTTTGTGGTATACAAGTGGCAAAACCAGATTTGAAGCAGAAATCGAAGTTTCCCAGCAAGTTTGTAGTGCAGGGTCCTAAAGATCCACCCCTGGAATGGGAGGAGAAAAATTCAGCCAGTTCAAAGATCATATTTTGAGATTGGGGTTGCTTTAAAAGGAAAGAGGAACCTGACACGGAGACAAATTCTTTTCCCATAGGTCTCTTTTCTGAGGCTCTCTTTTGTTAGTCATTTCCTGTACAAAGCCAAGAGTAGATTAGAACCAGAACCCTGCTACCGTCACAGGCGGGGGAATAGTTCCCCCTTTGCAAGAGTGCTTGAGAACATGAGTCAACACTGAGAAAAGGGGGATGTGAAAGGACCAGGGACAGACCCCATGCCAGACACTGCTCAGGCTCACCAGGAAGGCTTCACTCCCATTTTCCAAGTGATAATTCCAGCAAAACTCCTGGAGATCCCATTGCAGGGACAGCAGCTGGCGAGTGTGAGGTGATGTGAGACTGCAGGGTGTCTGCTCCAGTGGAATTCTTCAGGCTGCGAGAGGAAAGAAGGTCAGACTCTTCTGGGTGGGTTTTTTCAGCTTAATCAGTGTCGTCCCCCCACCACTGGTGTGGAATCTGATCACCAATTTTCACCAAATCTGATCAGGGAATAGTACTCTGTAGGGTATTAAGACCTATAAATATTATGGAAAAAGGTGGGGGGGAGGGGGGATACTGAAATGAGTGTCCTGCTGAAGAAACCCAGCAGGTCAGTGATATCAACTACAATATTAGACGCCTGAGAATCCAGACACACCCTAAAGCCTCTTGTTCTTTGGTATCTCCAAAGATGTCCTTCTTCAATTATTTTCCTCCTCCAGATCTGTCCTGTTCAAATCCAGGAAGGAGGCATATCCCTGGCTTTTGTGCCAGGCATGTCCATATCCACATCCCACATCCTATTTTCCACTTGTCCTGTTCCTCACCTCTCTCTGTACTCCCCCATGTGGAAATTGGGGCATGGGACAAGATGGGAAAAGCCATGTGTTGCCAATGTGTCTCTGTTTCTCACCCCTCCAGCTGTGTGAGGAGAAGGAGAAGCAGCAGAGGTGTCACAATGGATACATCCTCTGCCACGGAAAGAGCCAGCCCCGCTTGCTGGAGCCAATCCAGTGGGATGGCATCTAACAGGAGCTGGAGTGAGGACAATTCCTACAACTGGACCGACTGTGAAAGCAGCCACTTGAGCAAAGTCCCTGTCACACTCCTCATCTGCCTCTGTGGGATGGTTGGGAATGGGGCTGTCCTCTGGCTCCTCAGCTTCCACATCCACAGGAACCCTGTCACCGTCTTCATCCTCAACCTGGCCATCGCTGACTTCACCTTCCTCCTCTCCATCACCATCACCCTGGGGATATTTTATGTCCCAGAGAGCCTCTGTCATGAGCTGGGCTCACAGGGAGTGACAACTGTGCTGAACATCATCATCCTGTTTGCCTTCACTGCCAGTGTCTACCTGCTGACAGCCTTCAGTGCTGTGACAGCTCTGTCTGTCCTCCCCATGTCCCACTGTCCCTGCCACCACTCCCAGCGCTTCCCAGTGCTCCTGTGTGCCCTGCTCTGGGTCCTCTCCTTCCTGCTCACCACGACTCTCTACTCCCACCCTTCAGCACTCATCGCCTTTGTCCTGAGCTACCTCTTATCGGTGCTCACCCTGATCTGCTCTGGTCTAACCCTGCTTGTTTTCCTATGCTGCTCATGGAAACATCCTCCAAGGAAGCTCTGTGCTGTGGTCCTTCTGGCTGTCATCTTCTTCCCCTTCTTCACTGCTGATTTTGGGTACTGGCTCTTGCTCAGGGTGTTTGATTTTTCTGTCTTTGTCCTCAGCGCCTCCCTCCCGCTCGCCTGTGCCAACAGCAGCATCCACCCTCTTATTTACTTCTTGGCTGGGAGTTGTGCAAAGAAGTTCACAGTCTCTGTTAGTGCTGCCTTCCAGAGGACTTTTGAAGATGTGTCAGAGCCTCAAAATAGAGACAACACAGTGGAATCATCATAAAATGGAGTCATCATAAAATGAAATCATAATAAAATAGAATCATAAAATATCCTGGGTTGGAAAGGACCCATGAGGATCATTGAGTCCGACTCCTGGCCCTGTACAGGACAACCCCAACAATCCCATCATGTGCCTGAGAGTGTGTCCAAATGCTCCTTGAGTTCCGTCAGGCTCCCTGGGAACCCTGTTCCAGTGCCTGATCACCTTCTGGTAAAGAAACTTTTCCTAATATCCACCCTAAACCAGCTGTTTAAACCCCTGCCACCCCAATTCTACGATTCTGAGATGCTCTGGGGATGGAGGTGTCCTGGGGAAATACTGGTGTGGGTCTAGCTGCAGCTGACTGGAATTAACTGCAGCACAAGGAAATGTGGTGGGTGGCAGGGGAACTCCTGCCTGGGGTGGATGCTGGATGATCTGATGAATAATCATAGAATCATCACAGAATGGTTTGGATTGGGAGGAATTTCACAGATCATTGAGTTCCAAACGCCCCACCATAGGCAGGGACACTCATGAAACTTGTTGCTTTGAAATCTGCTTTGAATCTTTCCTTTCAACAGGTCTGAGCTTTCCCTGTCTCAAAACTGAGCTTCTCTACCCTGTGGACTATTAAAACCAAGCCACCAAGGCTCAGAGTTCCTGCCAGTGGGGTTTTTTTGGTGTCTGCTTAAAAACAAAGTGCAGGTGGATATCTTGGCACAGCAGTGCAGAACAATTTCTGGACAATTCCTGACCAGCAGGTTCTGACACATGGGGATACTATGTGGAGACTTCACATTCAGCTTTGTTATCAGGGGCAGTAGGAATGTGTGTTTGGGATCCCCTCTGGAAGGTTCTCCCCAAAAGTGCATCGCTCCTGCTGCACACTGAGTTTGGTCTGCACATCACGTGGCCTATCTGCACACAAGGGTTTGGGGCTGGAACTGCCTCCTGTGGATCCTCCCACTTTTCTCTGGGCTGTCTGGATGGTTTTAGCTTGAGCAGAGTGTCACAACCATGACCTGAGGGCTGGCTCCACTTCTGGAGACTCTGTTCCTCACCTGGGAAAAACAACAGGAGGAGGGTTAAAATTAAATGAGCTCTGCCTGGAGACTCAGCAAAGGTGAGATTTTCTATGTGAAAGAGGATACAGGGAGAGGGAAGGAAAAGGAAAACTGGACCTTTCATGGAAAAGAGCCTGTTGAGGCCATGAGGACTCAATCCCTGTAGTGTGGCTCAGGAATTTTCTGGGTAGAGGGGCAGTGGCAGTGCTTTCCCTGCTTTTCTCTCCCCTCCATGTCTGTCAGCCCTTGTTGAAATAAAGGATAGGCTTTAGAGGCTTAAGAATGAGAATAAATAGAGGAAATGAGCCATTTTCTGAGGCTGAGTCAGCCTTGTTCTTCTGTTCACCAGTGACAAGCTCTGCAGCAAAACCCAGACGCTGTTTATTTAACAAATTTTGGGGTCAGAGTTACCATGTTGGAAACAAACAAGAAAGAAATACAAACTTTATTCAGCAGTAGTAGGAAAGCAAGAAAGATTGGTACAACCAGGATTTTGATTAGTCATTAAAGCCACTGTGCAGAGTTGCTGTTCAGGTCCTCCTGAGGGTGGCCAGGTTCAGGATGGAAGTGGTGAATGGCTTCCTCTTCATATTGATGCCAGAGAATAGCAGTGTAATGCCCCTAATTTCTAAAAATTTAAGTGGTCCAAGCATCTGCTTATGTGAATTTCCATATTTCAAGCTCTTTTTGGTCATGGCTGCAAAGGTGTGTTCGGTGTAATTGGTATGAGCACAGAGAGCACAGGAGTTAGCGTGTGTAGCTTGCCAAGCCCATCTGATCTGGTGATCCCCTGCCTTGCTTCGTGGTATGGTTGGGAGCCGAGTCTAGAGAGGGCTTTGTGATCTGTGCCAGAGCTGGTATTTGCCAGCTGTGCTGCTCTCTGGCATCAGAGAGGTGATATTTGGCATCAGACATCCTCAGCTGCTCTGTGTTATCTCACAGAATGACAGAGGGGTTTGGGTTGGAAGGGACCTTAAAACTCATCCAGTTCCAACCCCCTGCCATGGGCAGGGACATCTTCCACTAGACCAGGTTGCTCCAAGCCCTGCCCAATCTGGCCTGGAACACTTCCAGGGATGGATCTTCCACAGATTCCCATGGGCAACAACTTACTGATGTGAACATGAGTACTAGGAACATACCTCTTGTAATTTCCCAGCACTAGTGAATCTACACTTTACTCAGAATGATTTAGTTCTAGAATTAAAGAATCTGACAAATTCCCACATAAAGTGCAAGGGAATGTTGTAGTTCCTTCCCCAGATCTGCTTGGCATAGGGTTGTTTCCTTTCCCAGAAGTCGGGAATGCAGAGCCGGCTCTGCCGATCTGCTCTTGGGACAGAAAGGGAAGGGTGTTCCGTGTGATCCCAACCCCTCTCCTGCCATCTAGAGGTGTCAGCCCCAAAGAGACCTGTGAAATCACCGCTGTCCCGCGCTGGATATATCCCCAGGGCTTACTATGTCACATCCTCTCCAGCCAAGAGATCTGTAAAACACCATGAAACTCATCTGCTGAGCCCAAGGAGACAGAGTTTATTCCCTGGGAATGGGTCAGTAAGGGTCATTC